GTATTACCTGCATGTAGGTAAGTGCACCCATGTTGTACAATGCCTGTGGAGGACAGAAGAGTCCACTGGATCCCCTGGAACTGGAGTTACAGATAGTTGCTAGCCAGCATGTGGGTGCTGGGATTTGAACCTGGCTCTTCTGCAAGAACAACCAGTGTTCTTTACTTTTGAGCCATCTCTCCAGCCCCATAAGACATTTTAAGCTACATTCTTTAATGTGCTATTTGTTGATTTTGATATATTGAATCACGTTGGAATCTCTGGCGTGAATATCTTTTGATAATAGTAATCATCTAAATTTGCATTTGCTTTTCGACTAACTAATATTTTGATGAGACCAGCTCATGTATGTTTATAAAAAGCACTAGCTTACTCCATTCCCCATCCTTCTTAAAACCACTGCATTCTATCTCCCCTCTCATGGAGACTTCTCCCTTCCCCAAGGCCATTTATTAGTTTCCTGATCTTTCTGAGTTTCATAATTGAAACATAAAATTTCCTAAAATTCATTTTTAAATGTACTTGCTTATAGGGTTATTTTGTTGAGATAGTGTTTGGGTTTGTGAACAGGATAGCTGATGCTGATCTCGTAGAATGTGTCGGGAAATATTCCATTTATTCAACTATTTAGAATAAAATGTGAAGCATTGAACTTGCTTTTTAAGTATTTGGCATTATTCAACAATAGAGGCATCTCCTCATGAGCTTTGTTTGAGAGAGATCATTTATGTCTAATTGAATCTCAGTTTTTGATTTTGACTTGTTCACATTTTCTAGTTCTTTTTCAAAAGTATTTATATTGATTCTTTGAGAATTTCATATAATATATTTTCATCATATTCAGATATCCTATCCAGTTTACTCCCCCAACATCATGTCCTTTATTATTATTTTTCTTTTCTGAATGCATTCTTGAGTCTGATTTATGTTCCCAATGCTTTTGGATATAAGACCATCGCTTAGAGCCTGGTCAATGTACCATCTTGACACAATAACAGCAAGGCACATTTGTGCCCAAAGTGACAGTTTCTTCAAGAATCTTATCAGATATTTTGTCCTACACTTCCTCATAAAACTCTCTAAAGATCCACTGTATCTGTGGTGGCAATTCTAATTTCTTTTTATTTTTTTTTTTTAATCATTTTGAGTGAGCTTTTTTTTTTGTCTTTTTGAGACAGGGTCTCCCTGTAGTCCCAGCTGTCCTGGAACTCACTATGTAGACCAGGCTGGCCTCGAACTCACAAAGATCTGCTTGCCTCTTCCTCCCAAGTGCTGAGATTAAAGGTGTGCACCACCATGCCCTGCTCTAGTGAACCTTTTTAAACAGTATGCTAATGTTGTCTTTCAAAACAACTTGCTATTTTTAGTGTCGGTCTTTTCTTTTGTTCTTATTACCCATTTCACTTAGGCCTACTCTAATCTCTTTTGTCCATTAATTTTGTATTCTGCTTTATCTTGTTTTTCAAGTTAAACTTTCCATTTAGATATTTCATTTAACAACTGACTGTATAAGAAAGCCTTAAATAGTTTATAAAGTTTATCTCTCTTTTGTTAATATCAGTAAGACAGCTTGGTTAGAAAAGATACTAAATACTATCAGTTATGCTGCATTTTTGAGACTATTTTTTAGCCAATTTCCATATTTTATCATGAATTATGTATACTGCACTAGTGTTCTAGAAAAGATTATGCTTTTGTCGGGGGGGAGCTAATTTTACAGAGATGTATAGTAAGTCATTTTGTGCAAAGTACAATTGAACACTACCATCTCTGTGATTTTTTATAGTCATAATCCTGTAATTGTGGACAATGGAGTGTTAAATTCCTCTATTTTATGTTTTTAATATCTTATTGTTTTTATTTCATGTGTATAAATATATTACCTACATGTATGTAAGTATTCCAGTACTGGAGGAGAGGGCATTTAATTCCTTTGGATCTGGAGTTATGGATGGTTGCTAGCCACCATATGGGTGCTGGGAGTCAAACCCAGGTGTTCTTCAAGATCAGTCAGTGCTCTTAACCACTGAGCCATCTCTCCATCCTGGTCCTCTTATCCTTTGTCATTAGAAATGTGTGTTGTTCATATGTGTTGTTCAGGATAAACACACACACACAAACACACACACACACACACACACACACATTTGTTATTCATTCCTCCTCAGTCTGTGCCTTTCTTGTTTTATAATGGTCCCTTTCTCTCTTCTTTGCTATTTTTCATTTACACATCTTTTTACCTGCTATAAATACAAGCAAAATCCTTTATTTTGGATTCCATTTCAGAAGAGTATCTGAACTGTGCAACTCCATTTTCAGTCTATTTAAGTCTTTAAAAATGAATTTGACTGTTTGTAATCAGTGTATGAATGGATCCGATTATCTTAATCATTCTTTCACTCAGTGTCTTTTAAATAATTAGTGAACTAAAATAATAACACTTAAAAATAATTGCCAGCAATTAATATCTTACTATTGCCATTTGTGACCGACATGCTTTCTGTTTTTATTTTTTCTTTTGTAATTGTCATTCTTTATGGCTCAGCTTCATAGATTTCTGTTGTGATTAAATGACTTATTCTATTCATATTTTAATTCCTGGTGTTTAGATTTGGAACTATGTCCCACTCACTGTAGTGCTATTATATTTTTGTCATTCTCTCATTTACCTTTCCTTGTAATGTTATACATTTATAGATATTCTCAACATTCTAGTGTCTTAGAACTCAATGAACAGCCATCAAATTATGTCAACATTTTGATTGCAGGAATATGAAGTTGGTGGATTACTGGTACAGTATAGAAATAATGCTGCATGGTGTTGATTACAGAGAATACCATTCAAATAATGAGTCAAAAGTTCTAATTTATTAGATACATAAAAAGGGACTATAGTTTTCTGAATTCATTCCCTCTCAGGCTGTATTTCTCTGAGGTAGTTTAATTCTTAGGCTTTAAACCTTTTAAGCTCAGTATTATACCAAGAATGCTGAATAGAATCTCTGTGGTAAAGAAAGTATAATAGTTAAAAATAAATATTAAACATGGTGTATTTACCTAGAAAATAAAATACAAGGTAATTAAATCATCTTGAAGTTCTTGAATGAGAACATACCATTCCTGTCTTTCAGTCAAACCAAGTCTCTCCACCAGGACCTGAAAACTATGAGAAAACTGAAGAGTAAGAAGAATATTCTACAATAAACCTTTAAAACATTTAGTTATGGATTAATTGTGAGATGACTGACATGATCTATTTCAGTGACAAGCACTGTGGAAGGTAATCAGATGTGGTGAAAAGCATTTAATATGCAAACATAGATGTTAGGGGCAAAGATTGAGCTTGGGATGAGAAAAGAAGGGGTAAGTGCTTGGAAGAAGAACCGATAAAGAGAAAAAGTAAAAAGATGCATGAGAAGTACTGCAAATTATTATTGAATAAACATGTTTCAGTTTCCAGAAACTCCCTTTCTTTTAAGACTTCCCCAAATATTATTTTGATCATGGTTTCGATGGAGAAGATTACTTTATTAAAGCTCATGACAGTATGATGAGACCATTACCAGACTGGTTTCCTTAGGCCAAGGTACAACATCAATCAGTTATGTCTTTGGGCTGTGTAGAAAGATAGGAAATTTTCAAATCAGCAGTATATGTGAATGACTCCACAAAAGGCCTGAGTTCCCTGATATCTGCTGTAGCAGAAGGTGTGATGGTATCCATACATTAAACACGTGAGATTCCTAGTGACCAATTTCATGGGAAGCTATACATTGCTATAGATCAAGGAAACAGTGGATTTTCACAAAGTTCATGACATCCATTCATATTTATAGTGTTTCTACTTCCATTTCCAGAATCGATCCTTTATTCAGGTATAAACATATAAACAATATGCAATACTCAGTCCCCCTATAGATCATCAAAAGAAACCTCCTTATTAATGAATCATGCACGTGCTTTATATTTTTCTTGTTTACCCTAAGAAAGGATTTTAGTTTTCTAGATGAGATAGTATCTTTTTCAGTACTATCTTTTCTACTCTTTATTTACTAGTAACTTAGTGGTTGTTGCTTTCTGTATAATGAGATGTGTACTGCAGTTTGCCAGACAATCTGAAGAAAGTTGATGTAAAAAATTTAAAATGTCTTTAATTTGACTCTCAACAGAATGTTTTATAATGCTGAGCCTTTTGAGATTTCCACGTTGTCTGATAGTGGGAACACAAATTCAATAAGTAGATTGTGCTATGTTGTTCAAAGGACATTAAAGGTAATCAAATGTGAGGCAAGAGAGATTGATCTTTAACAGAAATAATCAAATATATGTTTTAATATGTATAAGATAATAAAACATACCTAAAATAGATAAAAGTTTGCAGTATTGCAATGCAAATCTATGATTACCTGACTTAAAAAAAAAATCTAAGAGGTGCTTTTTCTGGTTGGGTGTGTTTGTACAAATATTTAACTCCAGGATTCATTTGTAGGCAGAGGCAGGCAGATCTCTGCAAAATTGAGGCAAGCCTGGTCTTCAGAGAGAGGTCCCAGGCAACTGGAGCTACAAGGATACCTTGTCTCAAAATATCAATAAAAGGGTGTTTTGCCCCAAGTATTCTTCTGACATAATTGTGTGACTAAAGAAATCTTCAGTGATTTTATGATTTTAATGTGTCATAAAACTATGTTAATACTATGGATTCTAAATATCATGTATATTTATGAGTACTTTGTTAGTAGAATACTATTTACAAGAGCTGCTTTTTCATTCCAGATTTTAGGAAAGAAACCATATGACTGAAAAGATCAAAACTAATTGCTTCATCATAAAAATTTAGCACATGGCACAAGTACGATTCTGAATGGAAGGATGTTACATGGCTTTGAATGAACCACCTGTTTTCACTGTTTTCATTGGGTCTTTAGCTGACTTTTTATCACAGAAAAATCTTCTACTCTAAATTATGTTCTCTTTAATTTTGTTTTCTTCAATGAAGGAAAATGGCACTTCCCTTGAGAAACCATAGTTCTGTGACCACATTCATCTTGATGGGTTTCTCAGAGTACCCGCACCTTCAGGCACCCCTTTTCCTCTTATTTCTAGCCATTTACACAGTCACTCTGGTCGGTAACATGGGCATCATCGTGGTAAGAAGGATCAATCCCAAGCTTCACACACCCATGTACTTTTTCCTCAGTCACCTTTCATTTTTGGATCTCTGCTATTCTAGTGTGTTTACACCCAAACTGTTAGATATCCTGATTGTGGAAGACAGGACTATCTCCTTCAAAGGATGCTTGACACAGTTTTTCTTTATTTGTGCATTTGTGATTACAGAAATGTTTATGTTAGCAGTGATGGCCTATGACAGGTTTGTCGCTGTTTGTAACCCCCTGCTTTACAGAGTTGTAATGTCTCCTAAGCTCTGTGCTGTACTAATAGCCGGACCTTATATGTGGGGTGGACTGTGTTCCTTGACTATCACATACTCTCTTTATCAACTTTCTTACTGTGGATCTAACATCATAAATCACTTTGGCTGTGAATACTCTGCCATCCTCTCTTTGTCCTGCTCTGACTCGACCTTTAGCCAAATAATATGTTTAATAATTTCTATATTCAATGAGACTTGCAGCCTCCTGATCATCTTGGCCTCCTATATCTTCATAGTTGTGACTCTCATCAAGATGCCTTCTAAGGGTGGACTTCAAAAGGCCTTCTCTACATGCTCCTCCCACCTGACTGCCATCACCATCTTCCATGGGATCATTCTCCTTCTCTACTGTGTTCCCAACTCCAAAAACTCATGGCTGTTAGTTAAAGTAGCTACTCTGCTGTTCACAGTCATGATTCCTATGCTGAACCCACTCATCTACAGTCTTAGGAACAAGGATGTGAAAGACACAGTCAGAAGACTCATCAGCTTTAAACCACATTCGCAGGCAATATAATTCAAGTAAATAGCTTATTTGTTTTCTATATACATATATTTATTCCATGAAATTTTGTTTTACTCACTATGTACTCCAGGCTGGTCTAGATCTCACCAAAATTTGCCTGTTTCTTCCTCCAGAGTGCTGGAATTATAGGCATAAGCCATCACCCCTGGCATAATATTTTGT